GTTTGATCTATTTTGATTCTAACATTTCTGAAATCCACATGTAGTTTTTCACAAGTTCATTTTCCATGAATTTTTTGAGGAGCCCACGTATAAACATAATCTAACACACAAAGAACATGATTTCTCAGTATAGTGAACAAACTAGAAGTACTCAGCTTTAAATCTCTGTTTCTGATCACTTTTAGCTACTACTGTGACCCTAGAGAGAGACAGTAAATATTTTCCTGTCTCAGTTTTCTCATGTGTAAGCTAGCTAAAAATGATAGTAATGTAACTACCTAAGCAGTTTTTTAAAATTGTTTTTCTGTTTGTTTTTAGTAAATTAACTTTATCTACAACCAAGGAATGCATGCCGGAAAACAAGAACTTGTCTTGAAAGGAAAAAGAAGTTAATTACCTTCATGCTTTTCATTTGGGCCGATAGGAGAGACTATCCCTGTTGGATCAAGAAGTCATCTATGTATAATGGCCAGTTGTGAAAATGGTTTTAATTTTACATAATAGTAGTCAGTAAAACCAGTTAAAAGAAAGAAGTAATAAAACACAAGTGATCTCTTTCAGGTTTTGATGGTAAAATATTCAAAGTAATCACAGAGTAAATTGTATCAGTAACCAGACTTCTGCAAATGTCCTCCTTATAGACAGGTAAAATGAAATGAACATACCGTCAAAGGAACATGTCTAAGCCGGATGACACAGGAGGCTGGAGTGATCAGACCTAACACCAGTGTAGAATTCAGGATCGAGAGATGACCAAGTTTTTTTTCTCAACTGAGTAGGGATGCAGACACAGAGAAGAGAGAGTAACGTGAAGTTTATTTAAGAGAGGAAAGGAAAAGCAGAGCCCCTAAACATGGAAAAGATCCAGGAATGGATTGCCTAAAAGGAGCTGGTGTGAGGGGATTTTATCCCAGCAAGGAGGGACTTGTGCATACATTTCTTTCATGGGTGTTACGAGACAGACGATTCATGCTATTCTTCTCCCACTTGGGAGTGGGCTTACAAAGCACAAGACTTGAGACATTCAGATCTTTGCCTGAGGTCTCTGGTCCATGAAGTTTCTAGTTTTTATCATGTTCTCTTTATATATCTAAGATGAAGCTTTGTTCTTTGATGTGTTTTTCCCTTGTGCTTCTAAAACGTAACCTCATTTAGACTCCTTTATCTTGCAAATGCAAGCCTGCATGTCATGTTCCCATTTCTCAAATGATAGTTCATGACAAGTTATTGCTCAATGTCCCTTGCTCTCTTTCTCGCCAGACTAAGAGAAACCACACTCTGGAATGTAGCAGTGATATGGAAAATGTTAGTTTTAGCTGTCATTATCTCAAGTAAGCTGTAAAACAGCTCTGGCTGTAAGCAGTTCTCTGTGTGAGCAAGCAGTGAGAGCCAATAATTGATTTCTAGTGAGAATCATGAATGATTTCTATTAAAAGCTTGACCAGAGTGACTCCATCTTGGAAGTTGGCTCTATCTTACAGGTCTCTACCCGAACTATATATGTGTGCACCTATCTCTTATCTCACTGAAAACGAAAGGTCTACAAACAGTCTAGATTGCGAAGGAAGAGTAGGAGAGAGGAACAAATTAAAAGGAGACTGCTACTTCTTTCTTTCTAGACAAGGTATTATACGTCACAATCCTCCTGCCTCACTCAGCCTCCAGAAAAGCTGAGCCTACAGATGCACACCACCAGGCCAAGCTTTTTGGGGTGTGCTGGAATTGAAGCCAGGTCTCCCATGTGGCCTCAGCTTGCTGAGCAGCAGCATCATACAGGATGTGCAACAACAGCAAGGCTAGACTTCTTATCTCATATATTTCTGAATAGTTTTATTACTTTCATCATTTCTAAAACAAAGGGCAAGTAGCATCTACTTGAGAAAATGTTGTGAGGTAAGATACTTAGCGGAGGGACTGGCTTATATTGAGCTCTCAGTAAATATTAGAACTCTCTCAATAACTATTAGGAAGCACTCGAAAATATCGGCTGCTGCTGTCGCTATAGTGTATATTTTGTGATCTTTATATCTTTATGATGAAAGGACATCATAAAAAAAAAGCACATCAAAAAAAGGGGAGGTATTTTCAATATTAAAATAATCTAAGTCCCAGAACCAATGAATATGGAAATTTTTTGAGAGGTTTTTTGCTGTAGGGCACATGCGTTCACCAGAAAGACGAAGAGAGACAGAGACAGAAAGCGAGAAATCACCCCCCAGGGGGGATGGCCACGCCGCAATCCCTTCTCCTTTATTCTCCTCTCGGGATCTTAGGCAAGCACGCACACACACCTGGCATGAGTTTAAGCCACCAGGTCCAAGACTCAAGCCGTGGTCGACTACATGGGAGTCCAGCAACACAGCTATTACGTCAACTGCTGGCCCCAATGAATATGGACAATTATTCAGGGACAGTTAGAGGCAGAAAGCAGACAAAAAAAAAAAAAAAGTAGCTTTGGGAAGAAATAAGGGTTATATTAAAAAATAATAATTTCAAAATGTTGTGGTCAACAAAGAAGAGAAGGAAAGCAAATGAAGTATCTAGTGTTGATCAAGAGATACAGAAAGAAAAAGCAGAGGGAGGGAAAATGCACGCATTGATACACAAATTTTGATAAAAGTTTCTAGAGAAAGGAAAGAAAGGCAATAAGGAAAAGAATGAAATCATGGCTCAATAAATAAAATAATAGAATACCACCCTCAGAAAAGTCCAAGTCCAAAATAAATAAAAAACTCACGTTTGAAAATAAAAGAGGGCCTCGGGGATAAAATATTTATTGTGTTACCATGAGTAATCTGTGGATGAAGAGAAGGCATGAAAAGGAAAAAGAGCTTTTGTGTAAAAGCTGAAAGGATAAATAGGATCAATATGTGCTTATTTATCACTCATGAAGAGAAGATCAAGAAAACAACAGATCATTAAACACAGAAGCCAGAGTGACAGTTTTTGGAGCCCAGACTAAACTGGTTCGTTTTATGGTGGGATCAGGAATGAGGAAATAGCTGTCCCAAATGTGATGGTGTCTGATGTTACCACATTCGCTGAACAGAGCACAGACAGTCGAGGAGTAAATGAACTCAGAGACAGATGATTATGGATGGGGATTGTGGAAAAAGAGAGATTTGATTTCATAGCATATGCTGCATCTGCCCCTCTTGTTCCCTGCCAATGGCACCAAGGGATCTAAATGGTTAGGTTACTCATGGATGTGTCTCCATCCTTTAAAGGAGAAAGATGGTTGTATTTGGAGAGAATCTAAGACTTAGTAGGGGGAAAAATTGATAGGATAAGAAATAATTAGGACTGAACAAAGGGTGTAAATATATAGAATCATCTGAGACAGATATGGAATTTATACTATGTACACATACACACAGGCAGAAAGACCAAACAAGTCCTTATGAAGGGTGGGTCACAGGTTTATGTGTAAGAGAAAAGAGAAGTTTGTCTTCTCAAATCATTGCCCAAATATCTTTCCTACAGGCTGGATAAGCTGCAAAATCATTTGGAAGATGAACTCATTCCACAGGAACAGAAAGATGGTTCAAACACCAGAGGAAATAACAAGGTGAGAAAAACTTCACACCTTTGTGAGGCTATTGAATTCTAGAAGGGCATTAAAGAAAGTTCTAGAAGTTGTGCTCTGAGAAGGAGTAAAGCTCAAAGAAGCAATAGCAGTCAAGGTATTTTCCAATTTCAAATCCATTTAATGAGAGCAGTGGGGAAGAAAAGGAAGATAGGAAATTACGGCACAGCTAGAGAGTAAACAGGTTGTTTGTGTTGCCAATGTCAAAGTGAAAGAAGAAAAGAAAGTTCAGGCAAAACTGAAGACATTCTGGAAATATCTTATTGTGTCCATAAAAAAAGGTGGGAGCATCATGGGCCTATAGAAAAAAAAATGAATAGAACAAACAAAGAGATGCGGGGCGAGAAATTCTATAAATAAATTATTTCCATGTTTAAAAAAAAGGTTTTTTTAAAATCAAGTGAGTAAAAGTGAAATAGCAAACACAATAGATAAAAGAATCTCAGTGGTCATTTTTTTGGAAAGATGTTTGAGAGGTATCAAAAGCTACACATGGCAAACATCACTATGCTGATTAAAATGGTTTTGCTGAGAAAGATGCTAGTGTAATGAAGGCATGATGCCGCTCTGGATCATAGCTATTTCATGGGGCGTCTTCTTGTAGTACGACCAAAAGAACCTGGCTAGGACCCTTTTGCACCATTTAGGTCAAGAAAATCTTGCTGAGATGTGCTCTGTCAGGCTAGTTGGGAATACATATGAGTATGTTATAAATCGAGGCTGTATCCATCACTATGAGAAGACAGAAAATAAATTAAAAGCACAAGGTGCTGGTATGGAACTGTTTGTTATATACATGTATGCAAAACACTCCGAATTTTTCCAAAGGAAAACAACATGTTGATGTGAAAGAAAATAAATGTAAAGATATAAAAAAAAGAATGATAAGTTGGATGGGCCCAGTCATAGCTTATGCAGCTGACATCATTCTGGAAATAATGAAAGCAAAAACAAAGATGATAAAATTTAAAATATGTGACAAGCGGAGAACAAAATGTGGAGAAAAGTGCAATACAGTAAAAGGAAAAGAAGGTTTTACTGAGGCTCCACGAGGTGATAGATGAGGTCTCTACACTTCATATTATTCAGATGTCTCCACCAAATTATAAAATAGATCAACACCTTCATTTCACAAATTGGAAAATCGAGAATTAGGCAGGTTAAGTAACTTGTCCAAGGTCACGCAGTAGGCAAATATAAAGCCGGAATTCCATTCGCTGTCTATCTTCCTCCTAAGCTTTTATCTACACACCATTGCCTTTCAAAACAAAGACATAAAAGTGAGAAATAAAGGGAAGTACAATTATATTGAAGCTGTATAGTTGAAGGATGGGTGTATTGTCTGTAGAGCATAAGGCTGCAACACATTTTTTAAAAAGGAAAAGAAAGAAATGTTGGCACAATTTCCACTCACTTGTCAGTGAAAAGAGACTCTTCTGCGATGTTCTGCAAAGGTGTGTCAGATCACGTGAGCACTTGAGAGCTCAGCTCTGTGTTAAATGCCCCTGCGAACAGTGCGGAAGCGCAAGTTGAAGTTAGAGTTCTTGTTAAAGAAAAATCTCTTTTCAAATAATACATAATTAAAGTGGATTAAGTGTTACTTGACTTCTCTTTTGCTGGTATTCAAATATATCACTGCCATTATGCATAATTAAGCCAGTGGTTCTCCTAAAGTGCACCATTCTAAGGCAGCTCCGGGTAAGAGTGACTCACTGTCTGCAGTCACAGAGCACTCTGGGATGGCAAACCTGGAATGTTTTCATTCTTAGGGAATCCTGGAAGGTCACATAGGAAGATTTATATTAAATATTCTTTGTTTTAATTTACTAGAGGGCATATATGCTTACCAGAGAGAAACAAAAATAGAGAGAGAGAAAAGTGAGAAAGCCTCCTTATTGGGATTGGTCACACTCCAAACCCTTCTCTTCCATTTTGCATTTTGGGAATTTGGGCACATGGGCACAAACACTCACCATGTTTTTCAAGTTGCTGGGTCCAGGACTCAAAACTTGGCTTTGGACAAGTGGTAGCTAGCCTCCCCAGTCATCATCACAAAATCTGCTGGATTTCCCCCTCCCCACCATCCCCCCCCATAAAGTGTTGCCTAAACTTGGGACTAGCAAGTGGCATAATGGTTACCTTGCTGGATTCCTGCATAGTTGACAGAGACTCAAGTCCCCAACCCTGCAGCTTAAAATCCACACCAGGCATGCATGTGTACATGCCCAAGATCCCAAGAGGAGAATGGAGAAGGGGTTGTATGGTGTAACCATCGCCCTGGGAGATGATTTCTCACTTTCTGTCTCTCTGTCTCTGTCTCTCCAGCAAGCACATGTACCCTATAGCAAAAATCTCTAAAAAAAGAAAAAAAAAGTGTTGCTTAAACTTTGATTATAAAGACACACTTTACATTATATTTAAGTTCTGGGGCACATAACTGAACAATAAAACTAATAAAATAACGACTAATCTAAATACATTTTAAAATACATTTTATTGAAAAATGAATAAATATGTAAAGTATGGTACTACTTTTGTATAGTTCTGCTTTTGTAAAATTTTTATATGTATGATAAAATAAAATGCTGTGTGGAACATAATTCAGAATTTACAAAGTAATATGATAAGTAATACTCTTGTCTTTCTCTATTTTCTGTTTTTTCTTCAGTAAAAATACATGATTAGGAGCTGGCAGGTGATGCAGAGGTTAAGGTAAAGGGATTCCATATGGCCAACTACGTAGTTTGAGTCCTAGGCCCAGCGGCTAGAGAACCACACCAATGTGTGTGTATACATATCCGAAGTTCTCAGCGAAGAATGGAGGAGAGAGAATTGTGGCATGGCCATCTGCCTGGAAGGACAGTTTCTCACTTTCCCTCTCTCTCTCTTTCTCTCTGTATCTGGCAAGTGCATGCGCCTTATAGCAAAACTAATGAAAAAAAAAGAAAAAAATTAATTAATAGCGTGGATTAAAAAGAAATATCTATTAAAATTCACTCTTAGAAGTCAAATCTAAGTTGTCACACTGACTGAGGTTGATCTTAGGGGATTTCATTAAAAAGCTGGATAGGTCAGAACTTAGTAGGTTGAATATGGAGTTGGAGGGTGATATAAAGATCCCTTTGGGACTTTGTATTTCACTCAAGGAAGAAAGAAAGAAACTTTTGAAAAGTGTATAGTCATATGATTAAAACTGTAACAGTTTGGTAAAATGATTTTTATTTTCAATAATAAGAATCACTAAGATCTATTGAGATTGCTAGAAGCCAGATACATAAGTGTTTATCGCTTAATTCATCTGGATAATCATGTGACTTAAAGGCTGTAAAGGTCCTAATTTTTACCAAAGGAGAGGCCGAGGTTAAATTGTTTCAATAATATCCATGTGAATTAATAAGTTTACAAAATTCATATCCTATCAAATCATTGAAATAAACCAGGCAGGATTAATATTTTAAAACTTTTTTATACATTCTTCATGGAGGATCTTTAAAAAGTATATAAAAATTATATATATATATGTATATATATATAAAATTATTATTTTTGCTAAGGATGTGTGCATTCACCAGAGAGAAAGAGAAATACAATGAACAGATGAGAGAGAGAGCACCTCCCTGGTGGGGCATGATCATGTAGAATCCTTTTCTTCTGTATTTCCTTCCCAACAGAATTCTGGGTATGCACACACAGGCATCTGGGATATCTTCCAAGTTGCCAGGGTCAGGATTCAAACTGTGGTCAGCCATATGGAATCCGGTTTCCAAAGTACAGCTCTCAACCACCGCATTATGGAGTCAGCCCAAATAATTTGTTAGTGCACATTTAAAAGATGTTAGAAAATATTTCTCCTTTCTCTACTGAAAAAAAATAGTTTAGAGAGCTCATTACTCTTAGGAACTGCTCTTTACGTGTATACATCAGAATCCTCTGGTGTCCAGAACCAAAATCTTAGGTGTGGGGCTAAAGAGCCTGCATTATTAAAATACAGAGATTTATTACAACTTCTAAGATTTGATGACCTCTTTTCTTTTTTAAAGAATTATTTTATTGTATTTTATTTTATTTATTAATATTTTTAATTTGACCAGAGAAGGAAAAGAGAGAAAGAGAGAAAGAGAAAGTGAGAGCAAGCCGCCGGGTCCGGCCTTGAATTATGATTGGAAGTCCAGTGCCTTAACCAGCATGCCACCTACTGGCCTGGAGATTTGATGATTTCTGAGTTTATATGGCAAATCAGAAATTCAGACAAATGAGCAAAAACAAACAAGCATAGTATCCTGATCTTTGTTTTCTAGTTTGACCTGACTAGTCTTTTTAAAAAAAGTATATTTGTTTATTTCTTCCATGAGAGAGAGAGAGACAGGAAACAGAGAGAGAGAGACCCCTAACAGAATCCTCACATCACAATTCACCCTCAGCCTCCATCAAAGCAGATCATGAGTATGTGCATGTGTGATATTGTACATACAGCTAGGCCCTAGGCCCTAAGCTTGTTGTAATGGGAGAGACAGAGAGAGGAGGAAAATTAAAAGCACCCCCTAGGGGGTATGGCCATGCCACCATCCCTTCTCCTCCATTCTCTTCTTGGGATTTTAGACATGTACACACACATGCCTGGCATGCTTCTCAAGCCTTTGGATCCAGGACTCTAACCACATAGATGGCTCTGTGGAATTCAGCCACCTTAATTGCCACACCACCAGCTGGCCCCAGTTGTTTTTTTATGACAATTCTAAGTGAGATACTTTCACAATTTTTCCCCCACATATTTTTAGTATTCCTCTTAGAGTGCCAATACCTCAACATTTACTTCTCTATTTTTCCCCATTTATCCACTGTCATGTCATTGTAATTGCTGAGAAATTATGACCGAGGTGGGAAGTACATCTACCAACATAGGCCTAGCATTTTGGAGCCTGGATTTTCTTCATGTCTCCATGCCTAATATCTATTGGCCATCTCCACAGCAATAGAATCCAATATGCTCATGCAGGACCATTAACTGGTGTCTTCAAAGGATACAGTGAAGAAAGAGGCTGAATCCCATTTTTAATAGAGCTAACATTCTACTGGGAGAGACAAAAAAAAAAAAGATACTAATAAAAAAGTAATCGGGACCAGCAGTTGGCATAATGGCTATGTCACTGGACTCCCATGTAATCGACTGTGGTTTGAGTCCCAGATCCGGTGGCTTAAATTTATGAGTATGCGTGCGTGCCTAAGATGGCGAGAGAATGGAGGAAAAGGGATTATGGCATGGTCATTCCCCCCTGGGGGAAGATTTCTCGTTCTCATTCTCTCTGTCTCTGTCTTTCTGGCAAGCACACGCGCCCTATGGCAAAAACCTCTTCATAAAAATAAAAAAAAAAATCAATAGAATCAAAGGTCACAGAGTGATAAGCACTACATAGAAAACAATGTATAAGAGCACATGTACAGGACTCAGAATGGGGTAGGAGATATTGGGTTATATAAGAGAGGTCTTCCAGAGGAATTGACATCGAGCTGAAACATGCATGACGTGCGAGAGAGAGCCAGCCACAGATGTGGGGAAGTATTCCAGACAGAGGGGACTGTGACTACAAAGGCCAAGGCAGGAATGGATGTGACTTATTCCTGGAAATCACAAAGGTCATGGTGGATAGAGCAATATGACCGAGGAGGAGAGTGGAACGAGATGCACAAGAAGACATGGACGGAGATTCACTGGCATGTGCCTTGTGGCTCATGGTGGTGCTTGGATTTCATTCTGAGAATGAGAGATTGTTATCCAGTGTTGAGCCAGGGAGAGAAATGATTAGATTTGCATTTTAATATATCACTTTAGCTAGTGTTTCGAGAATTGATTGGAACCAGGTAACCTATAGTAACATATCACACTCCGGGTGAAAGATTAGTTTGATGTTCACAGAGTAGCTGTGGAAACACGGTCAGAGCCTGTGTGTACATGTTGCTATTGCGAGGCTAAAGCCCTTCAAAGTTGCTGATGATTGGAATGAGGAATATGGAGATAAAGAGTCATAGATTCCTAAGAGATTCAGTTCCGAGGATCAGATGTTGGATCTAGAAACTGAGACAGAGAAGACAGGTTACAGGTGGTCTCAGAAGTTCTGCTTTGGAAACGCTGGGTTTGAGGCACCAATGAGACCTTCAAAGGGAGGAGGAAGTGGGTTAAGTGTGTCTGAACTCAGGGGGAGATCAGAGCAGACATCCAATGACAGAGACATGGGTGTGGAGATGGAATGCAAGTTCATGACTGAATGAGCTCACCTAGGGAGGGGTGTCATATAGAGACGAGAACGACGCATGTGGCTCGGGGCCCAGTGGAAAACTTGCTCAAGCTTGTCATTCTGTATAAAAGGTGTGGTTCTTTAACTACCTGAAAGTTACAGGCAGCCGTGATCTGACAACGGGATTACAATTTGTTGAATATAATATATATGTTATTGTAAAGAAATTAGAATATTCATGTTATCCTTGGTTGTCCTACGGCCTCAC